TCCAGATGTTCCACCTCCTGCCTGTAGCTGGACTCATTGTTGTTTATGATGCATCCAACCACTGCTGCATCATCTGCAAACTTTACAATATGACAGCCTGGATGGGTAGGTGCACAGTCCTATGTGAGCAGATTGAACAGGAGGGGGCTCAACACACAACCCTGAGTGGAGCCAGTGCCGTGCAGTCTGTGAGGATCCACAACGTCTCCTCCTCCACTTAAGAAGTCCAGGACCCAGTTGCAAAGGGATGGGGCTTAGTCCTAGTGTTGGTAGTTTGTTCATGAAGGTCTGGGGATCATGGTGTTGAAGGCAGCTGTGAAGTCCACAAAGAGCATACATAGGAGTCCTTCTGGCAAATCTGGCAAAAAGCAAAGGTTGAAAATTATGTATTTGCCCATTCTTGTATGTCTGATTCTCTGTCTGTCTGTCTATTAGCAAAATATTTCATGAACTATTTGAAAAATGTTAATTAAACTTTCAAATGGGAGTCATTGATTGTACGTCTACTATCATATTTTAGAATCAGCTCAAGTCAAAATGGCTGCCTCAACTCACTCAATTTTCCAAATACTGAGCAAAAATTGGGTGTGGTAGTAGCTGAAACTGACCCCCAACACATAATCTGAGGACTAAAAGATTGTACTAGATCTTTGTCCAACATTCAACTACTTGCAGTCAACTTTGTCTATTAGCAAAATATCTCAAGAATCACTGGACAGATACTGATGAAACTCTTAGTGAGGAATCAGTGGGTGTTTATCTCAGACACCTTCAATGTTTTGGTCAGTTCAGTTGAATATGGCCACCACAACTAATCATCCTAGGCCAACACAAAAAGGGATATAACTCAGTTAATATTACTAAAGCAATAACTTAGCTTGAGATAAAATATGATGTGATAGTAGCTGAAAGTCAATATAACTAAAATACTCTGAGTGTACAAGACTCTGATTTTCAAGGTTTGACCATAATGGCTACAACTCCATCATTTCTCAACATTAGATGATTTTAGTTTGAACTCGGTGTGGAAGGCAACAGTCAATATGCATTACTAGACCTTTAATGCAAGAAATGGATAAATGTGTCAGTCATCATGATAGATAATTTATTAAATTCCTTTATAGATTTTATAATCCTAATGCAGCTCAGGAAACTTGTTCTGCACAAAGATTTTCAGTTTAGGATTAGTTCATACATTAACTACCCCACACTTATTTTTATATAAATCTAATATTTGTCATAAAATGACCAGCAGAGAGAAAGAAAAGACAGACGCTCACCCCGACAAAAAATATTTAAGTATACAGTTATTCCAACAAAGGCTTTGAGCAGGCTGCAGGGCTCAGATAAAAACCACAATCTTTCTTTTGTTCTTCTGACATCTCTCCAGTCTCGTTTTATGCTGCCATGGAAAAAAAGATGGAGTCCCTTTTCTTTTTATATTCACAGAAAATGAGATTCCAGTGACAAATTGTTGTCTATAATGACTTTTTTTTTTGTCTTCGTGTTACCTAAAATGCCACTTCATCTCTGCCTAACAATAAGTCACACCGATGCCTTCTGACAGCGTGCATCTTGGAGATTTTACTGATACATTCCAGATTAGTCCCAAGATTTACTGCAAATGAACGTCAGAATATCTGCCACTATTTATCACTCTGTGCAAAACAAAAACATAAAAATTTATGCCTGTATGACTCCAAAAACATACTGTGCAAACAACTCTTCGTCACGTTATTTGCAGCCTTGTGGATTTCATCACGAAGCAGTTTTTAACTGACATGTCAGAGCTTACATGAATGATTAAATTATGTGTACTTTTTATCTCTCATTTAATTTCACTGTCTCTTGTGAAATCATAAAACCGTCATGTGTAAACAATGGAACTTTGTCAAAGCTGTAAGTAAACACAAATACAATTTTTTTAATTAACTGTACTTTTAAATAGTACAAGGTTAGCATGTTAAAACTGATATGTACAGCAACATAGCAGAAACACAATTCAGAAAAGTTTTTTGAATAGTTGCACATTTACCACTGTACCACATATCATCTCATCTGGACGGCAAACAAATAAAACCTGATTTTTTTTTTTACCTACATTAGAGCTGTACTGCTATGATGCATACAACATGTAGGTCATGTCTTTAAAATTAGTAAGAACTTCTCTGAACTTCTTTTCATAAGCACATGTGAAAAACGTATGGGCTTTTTACACGTGTGTATGAATGGTTTTCACATGTGTGTGTGAGACCATGTCCTTCCAGTTGTACGTTTGAGAGATTTTTACTTGTGTGTATGAACGTTTTCTGTAGTATGTGTGCAAGACGTTCAATATAATATGTGAGAAAGTTATGTTTTATTGGTGTGTATGCAATCTAATTCTGAATAAAGCCTTACCTGGTTCTTCATACTATCCTGTTTTATGTACATTTTGAGACTTTAAGGCTACTTTATACAAAGTTTACTTTCTCAGAAACTAATAAAAAAAAATACTGGATGACAAGATGCTCACCTTTATGGGCCTTTTATCATGACTGTAGCCTTTAAGTGTTTGATTGGTTTTGTAGATTGAAGATTTTTGCTTGGGTGAACATCAGAGGACATCAGAATCAATACTGTGTCCTTTCACAGTCACCAGATTACACTATAAAAAACATGATTAGAATCAACTCCAACAACGAATGTCAGGATACAGTTACTGTAAATATAAAGTTTTAACTGTTGTCTACTTTCAGAGACAAATGAAGAGCAACTGTAGCACAAAATACAGACTAAATCTTGTAAATAAATAAATAATGTTTGATGGGTGGTGCAGTGGTTCAGCTGGTAGATCTCTTCAGTGTTGCCTTATGGCGAGAAAGTCGCCAGATCAAATCCCAGCTTTTCTAGGTGGAGTTTGCATGTTATCTTCATGCATGCATGGGTTTTCTCCGGGTACTTCGGGTAGTTTCCTCCCACAGACCAAAAACATGCATGTTAAGTTAAATAACTACTGTAAATTGTCCCTGAGTGAGAGAGTGAATGGTTGTCTGTCTCATTTGTCTTCATGTGTCCCTGTGATGGACTGGAGACCTGTCCAGGGTGTCCCCTGCCTCTCGCACAGTTTTAAATTTACTGGTTTTACAACTGAACTTTTGGATCTAAAGACTTGCACATGACATTTAACTTGAGGAAAATTCACCCACCAGACGTCTGCTTGATTTCCAAAAAGGAATCTTTTATCTCGAGCTTCAAGGTCTTTAAACCGAAGTGGATTAAATTCTGGATCCTTAAATCCCCCTTAAACACACAGCTGCTGCTTTTATTCCAGGCAGGCATCAAAAACGATTTGATTTGATGAATGATAACTGCTGATACTAATGTGTGTGCGTGTGTGCATGTGTGTGTATTGGGTGGGTTGGTGTGGGGGTGGGGGGGTGTAAAAGCATGTTAATTTGCAGCTCGTTCTTTTGGGCTTTGGGGGATTCTAAGCTCTCCTTTGTCAGATCTGTGAATCTGTCTGCCCGGTCGGAATGCAACACTTTAATACCCGGCACGCCACAGAGACGCTGCAGCATAACGAGCTTGTCACTCACGCTTTAACAAATGTTATGCCATAAATCTCTGTGTGTGTATGTGTGTGTGTGTTCTGTTATTATGAGAACATAGACTTGACAGGACACCAACCCATGGGGGACCACATTATGGTTTCTGTGGGACTGAAGTACCTTTTCATGTTTCTGGTCTGGTTCTTTACTTTGGCTTAGAATCAAATTAAGTTTAGGATGAAGGGATAGATGAGGCAGTTTTTAGGATGAGGGCAAATATAGGGCAGTTATGATGGTTAAATGTCAGGATAAGAACCTGAAAAGTCCATTTTGTCTATGAATTATCTTTTTAGAAACAAACATCTGCATTTGGGGTTGACTGAGTCGCACTCCTTCCAGATTTCTGTGAAGCACCAGACTTAAAACACACGAATGATATTCCTGGTGTTTTTCTTTCCTTATGAGATAACAGATATGTTTTGATTTGGGTACAAAATAAATCTTTGTTGATACTGGTTGAAATATCTTGCCTAGACTGCCTATTCTTGTTCATAATTTATTATAAAGCCTAATAATACAGTAATATTAACTTTAATTAAGTATATCAAATATTTGAAACCCAGTTACACCTTACCAATCAGAATCAAAACAATCAACACAAACATTACAGATCCTGCAAAGTCATAAAAATTTGTTTAAAAAAATCATGAAGTAAGAAACAAAATCTGCACACTGTTTTTCTCATATAACATGGATCAATTAACATGTATCAACAAAAAAAAAATCTAAATTTGTGAATGAATACCCAACATGTTTTTTTTGTTTGTTTGGTTTTTTTTACCTACAAAAAAAAAAAAAAAGACAAAGTGAATGAAATTAGGTCAAATAGTAAACTTACAGGTCATATTTGAGTACCATTTAAAACGATGTACAAAACTAGAAAACACAGTTTGTGATGGATTTAATGTGAAACTCAAAGGACAAAATGAATTCCAAGATGACACCAAGGTTCTGAAACGCAGATGACTGGAATGAGATGGAACACCCATTTCCACAAGGATATCTCCAACCTCACACACTCTGCATTGGGATTTTGCTGAATGATTAGAGTAAATGTTTGTTTTAATGTAGGATTGTGTATCATCAGCATTTGAATGAGACCATGATAGGAAATGATTTGTAAGAGCATATAAATAACGAGTGACCCAAGTACACAGACTTGAGGTACTCCTTGATTGATTAAGAATATAAAAGGAGTTAACCGTGTTGACAAACTCCCTCTTCCTGCTTGCATGTATCCTTCCCTGAGATTTAGTACCTTGACAGTTCCTGGGGAGATCTAATATGAAATGTGAAAAGCACTTCTGCCTCCTTCTCCTCTGCACTTTGGTAGCTGTCTGTCTGCTGCTTATTGACAGCAACTCCTCTTTTTTGTTTCTCCCTGGTGTGCGTCCACATGTGTTTTTATAGCTGCAGCAGTGGAGGGCCCAGCAGGAGGAGGTGGCAAAGCTGGAGGAAGCTATAGCAGCGAGACAACAAGAAGAAGGGGAGGAGAGGATGAAGAGGGAGCAGGAGAAGGAGGCTGCCATCAGGTCGCAGCAGAAAGAGAAAGTAAGCACTTACGTTCAGAGAATGTGTTGGTTACATTGTAAAAAATTATAGTTGTGATTAAGAAACCATTACTGGACAGTATTTGCTATATATTTTTTAAATTCACTATTATCCTTTTAAGATTAAGTTTTTATCTTAAATGGAAAAACATTAAACTAATTTAAATGATGCCGGTCGTACAACCAAGACATGCACAGATTTATCAAAATGCCATAATACTTGGTCAATGAAAAACAAATTGTCGATCCACAACAATGATTTTGCACACAGAAAGCTCTGGGTGTTATCCATCTGAAAGCAGGAGCTGTTAACAGTTATCTGGGGATTTTGATTATTCATTTTATGATATTGAACACTCAGGTGTGATAACTCCACAAAGTGTGTGGGTTTCAAACTGTTTAATTAACTCTCTCCTCGAGGGTCTGCTTGGGGAGAACAGGCAACCCGAGACACTCTCTGATTAATGAGAACATTTAGGCCTCATTGAATTCCAGAAAATCTAGCACGACATTCAGGCAGACGTTGAAATATCATCTCATTCGCTTTATTTACACGTGTCTGACTCCCCGCCGCCTCAATCAATGGGACATGATGATCTTTGGAGTTTTGTCAAACTCAACTTTATTTGGCTCATGGCTGCTCAGAACCAACTTTTTGTTGTTTTCTTTCACCCAAAGGTGAGGAGGTTTTATTTAAGGCAGCAGAAGAGGAGGGAGGTGCTCGAGTGGAGGGATCAGGAGAGACTTGCTGCTCTGAGGAGCGTCATGGACAAGCAGGCGAGGCGAGACAGGGAGAGGTGGGTGTCAGACTACTGGACCACTAAAATTGCAAATGGCCTCTATTTATTATTTTTTATTGCTTTTTGCCTGACTATCACAAATTGAATACATATTATTGATTTATAGTAAACCTGATGATTAAAATACCACAGGAATGATTTGTTTAATTAATTAATTATTATATATTTTTTTTATATTATTAATAATTTATTGACAACACTTAAACTGCTTGGAGTTGCAAACACTGATATGTTGTCTCTGCGTGATTTGACTTTGTCCCTATGGTTCACTTAAGAATACAACAAGAATATTTAATATTTTTATCATTATACTGATTTATGCAAAGTTCTAAATTGTGATTGTGGTCAATCCTGCTGTCAAAGTAATCTTTTTTTTTTTTTTTTAATAGAACACGAACTTGAACAAACCACTTTTTTTAAGTAATTGAAAAATGTCATGCATGTACAACGTTTATTTAAATGTTTCCACACTTTTTGGTCATTTGAGATTTTACTGTAAAATACAACACATTAAAATGTTTAGTTAAATTAAGAATTAAATTAAATTGAATTAAATTAAGTAATTAAAGTTTAGTGTCAGACCTAAAATCTAATTATGATTTTGATTACTTAAATTTTATTATTGTTACATCTGTGTGGTATTTAAATAATTGTCTTTTTTTATTCAGACCTAGTAAAATGAGCATTTTCTGTGAAAAATGTCATGTGAATGTTGAGTACAGAATGACTTTACTGAAATTTGTTGAAGAATCTAAAAGTTAATTATTGAAATTAAAACAATCAAAACAAACGATAAAATTAGCTAAACTAATAAAAATCAAAAACTAAAACTAGACAAACATAAATTAAAAGCTAAAACTAATAGAACAGTGGATGAAAACTAAAATCAGCAAAAGAGTAGCTAAAAGATATAAGCAAAATAGTAGCTTAAAAGCCAAAAGTACAGTAGCTAAAAGCTATAGTAAGCATTGCAGGAGAAAGTAGCCAAAATCACCAAAACAGCATCAAAAATCTAAGACAGTAAGCTTAAATACATAATTAGAACAACAACTAAAAGTTAAAACTTGCTAAAGTAACTAAATGCTAAAAATAAAAGCGGTACACAAAGGATTTCAAAGAGCATAAAGTTTTTCCAGGATGTGAAGCAATCTCAATTTATTTCCAAGAAAGAAAATGTGCAAAAATAAAGTTAAATGATTCAAAATAATATTTACAGGAAAAAAAACAAACATAGGGCCCCTTATGTCCTTAATGAGCTGAACGTTTTGATCCCAGAATGGCCTAAATAACCAAAAGTAAGTTGTTAGTTTTAAAAAAAAAAAAAGTACTAAATAAATTGTAAACAGGAAAACAATAGTGTGAATGCTGACTCGTCATTCACTCAGCTAGCCTTCTCAAATGTGTTTCAACTTACAATCATTTCCAGTTACCATGTTGTGTGACTAACAAGTGACTGTGACCATCACTTGGCACGGGTTTAGTCATTTCCTGAGCACAGAGACTTGCATTCCTTGCCCATAATGAGTTTTGCTATTAGACGAAACCCTTGCAGGACTGAGAAAAGACGAGGGATAAGAAAGGGATGAAAGCAGGTGATTTGGGAAGAGCTGGCTGCGCTCTGGCAGCTCCATTAAGCCTCTGAACAGCCTGGAGGTTTGCTGTGTGAGGACTGATAGGTTTGCTGCCTGAGGCCCTGCTGAAGAAACAGGGGTATCATGTGGGTGTGATGTCCACAGCCTCTGCTCTGTCTTCTCCATTTAGGGTGCAGTTTCGAGCAGATATGTTGCAGGAGCGAAAGGAGAGAGAAGCGCGGGAGCTCGAGCAGCAGAGGGAAGAACAAGAGAGGCAGAATCGTCTAGTAGAAGCTCTCAGAAAGCAGGTGATCATTAGCAGGTCTGAACACCTTCAGACTCTCAGCTTTGTTCTGTCTGCTGAAATTACTTGAGAACTGGGGACGTCAGCGCCACCTTGTGGCTCTACTTAGAAAGACCGCAGAGTTACCAACGTGATGATTAGTCTTATTTTCTATCATTGCAGGTTGAGGTGGTGGCAGAGGCCGACCCAGAGAGGATGATGGCAGATACGGAGGCGTGGAGGAGCCGACTCAAGAATGAGAATGAGTTTGAGCTGCAGAGGCCTTTCTACAATATAAACACGTACACAGACACACAGGTGAGACATTTTAACATCTGCCCTCCTCTGACTTTCATCTTTTGCCTTGATTTGCCGTTCGCTGCTTTTTATACGTTTCATTTTCTCTGATCCGTGTTGTTTTTAGTTTCTTCATTGTCATTCGCATCACATGTGATACATGAGGTGGAACGAAATTATGTACACGGGGTCCCAGTTACATCCAGCAAAAATATAAATTGTCAAAGAAACAGTAATAAGGATCTAAGATATAAAGTAAGAAATGCGCTAAACACTAACAGCGCAAAACAATACGCCGAACAACAGCAGCACGAACATGAGTCTATGTGAGTAGATGAGTACGAATGAATGCAGCAGCGTGAAATAATCAGCAGCATGAGATCAGCAGCACGGATAATCAGCAGCACGTATCACCAATCAAAGTGGCATTAAATTGAGTTCAGTCTGTTAGGTTTTGCTTCATCTGGGGTGAAGCTGACCTATGCAATAGTGGAAAATATACAAAGCAGGTTACTGGTCAGACAGTGTTTGTCCTTTCAGCACACAGACTTCTGTCTGTGTGCTGAAAAACCTCAAGGCCATCAACTTAGTCAATAAACTGTAGAGTCTGAGTGCGTCTGTGGATCTTCGCTTTCACATTAAACCTGCTTTATGTTTAACAAACATCACTGACGTGTGTGTGTGTTCTAGCTTTAAAAACCTATGAATGTGTGATTTATTGACTGTGCAGTTCTGAATGTCTATTTTCCAGATTGTGTCCGATCCAAGAGTGCGAGCTGAGCAGGCTCTGCGAGAGGCGGGTCTGCACCAAAACCAGTACGCTAAGCGGGTTCTGTCTGATATCAAGCCCCACAAACCACCTCGGAGAGACACGAAATCCACACTAAAGTTTTAACTGTGGTTTGTTTGGGTCATACTGTAAATTCCTACCAACCTTTACTTTGTTATTCAATTTAATAAACAATAAACTCGTATGCAGAAACGTGATTAAAATGATTTAATTTTATTGTAGTTAGAAATTTACATTCTACAAGGGTGCTGTAAACAAAAATTACGTCTGCTGTTATCAGGGAGTATTGACTGCTTATGTAAGGGTTTAAAGGTGCAAGGCCATGAACTTTAATATATATATTTAACTACAACACATGCGGTACTGAAATACAGTGGTAAAAATATACTCCATGCTTTTTTGATTGTCAAAGAAATAAGAAAAAAATAAACAAAAAGGAACACTTTTAAATCAAAGACTTGAAAAGACAAGCAAAACAATATCAAGTTTATGTTTATTCCAAAAGTTCACATTTTATTTGGGTCATTTTAAAACATCAGGACTTACAAATGTCTCTAAATCTGTCATATTTAATAATAATAATAATAATTTATTATTCAATTTGTACTGCACTTTACATTGTACAATCTCAAAGCGCTACAAAAATATCTAAATAGAATAAAACATGGACTAAAAAAGGACTAAACATTTTAAAGCTTTAGCTACATTGATTATTCTGGTATTGATGTCAACATTCAAATAGTCACACAGAATGCATTATTTTGAAATTTTATCTTATTGTACATAAATACCAAAGTGTTTAATGTAAAAAAAAAAAAAAATACAGTACATACCCTAAATAAGCAACATGCTAGTATTTTAGCTTTGTCATTTACCGTAATTTCCGGACTATAAGCCGCTACATTTTTTTAACGTTTTGAATGCTGCGGCTAATTTATGGATTTATTTTTTGACAGGCTAATGAGCTTCATGCTGCCAAAATATTTAGCCTCATCACCCATGACTCAATGAGACTACCTGTAAAAATAAAGGTAAAAAAAAAAAACTGACCTACGAAATTACCCAACAGGTCACAATGGATCAATTAAACTTGGTTTCATTAGTCCACTTTGTTTCCTCCTCCCCCCTCCATACAGCGATCAATGACTTCCTGGTAGGTTATGTGTTTATATATATGTATATTTTTTTACCAGCCGTGTTACAGGCACTGTTCAGAAAAAGAAAAAAAAGCACTTACTGTATGTATTTCTGTATGTTACTGGTGCGTATTTAAGTAAAAGTTAAAAAAAAAATATTTGTGTAAATATCTCATGTTACAATGTGGACATCTGTGCCTTATAGACAAGTGCAGCCTATATATGTACACTTTTTTGTGGGCGTGGCTTATTTAGGTGTGCTCAATAGTCCGGAAATGACCATAAATCATTTTCAAACTCTTGCACAATAGTCAAACATTATACTAAGTACAGACTTTTATATACACATTCACATATCAGTCAAAGCTATATACAGTATTTTACGGTTACAGAAGGTTCAGACTGTCAGCCCCAAACGTTTCTTGATAAAGTGAGACACCAGGACTTGAGGTCTCTGCTGGTACTCGACCAGAACATCATGAGGGGAGGTGATCTGGTCTCCATCAAAGCGGTTCAGCAGGGTAACGCAGACCACAGCCGCTGCGAGGAGGACAAAAATGTGGAAACTGTTAGTGATTTTATATGTGGCGCTTGTTTTCTTTGACGTGGTTTTGAAGGTTTCATGTCAAATCATGTGTCAGTAAAAACAAGACATGTTGTAGTTTTGATTCATGTGAAAGTAGGCTAGCAGATGAACACTTTGACACCTTTAAGGCCGCAAACTCTGCACATGGCGGCAAAGACCGTGGACTCCATTTCAATATTCCTCACGCCAGCCTCGTAAGCTTTCCTCAGATACTCCAGTTTCTCCTCAGGAGAGAAAGAGCAGAGAGCTCCGTCAAGTCTGCCTTGACCTACACAGAGACGCAAGCAAGGATTCGTCAGGGAATGACAAGTACAAGCCAACTCATAATGAATTATAAATGTTTGTGGGAAAAAAATTGAAAGTACCTTCGTAGAAGTCGTGGGTGCACATGGTGTTTCCAATAACAGCTGGGAGGTTTGGAATTTCTGAGGAGCATTGCAGAAGCTCGTTGGCCACTCCCTCATCCAGCTCCGTGCTCCTGGTGATGACTTTACCCAGAACAACTTGTTCGAACTGGGGTCGGAAGGAGTAGTCCACCGCTTTATCAGTGACCACCACCGTCCCTGGAGCCAGACCTGAGGACGGAACAAAACGCTTTGTATTAAACACGTCCTCTAATCACCACATGCGAGTAAAGCCTCCTGTTACTTTTAAAAGAAAAGACTAAAAGCTCTGGTCTTACCAACGCCACCGGATGTTCCCAGACGAAACAGGACCACGTCACGGCACTGAGCGTGATGCAGCAGTTTGATGAGCTCGTGCAGCATGATGGAGATGGAGGGGACGCCCATGCCATGCTGTTACATAAACCGTAGATGAACAAAATATTTAGCCAAACCAAATTTCAGTTGTCTATGAGGATCATAAATGTTTTTAAGGAATACATACACTTATCGAAAGCACTGGTCCCACTTTGTACATGCAGTAGCGATCAGTTCCTTCACAAATGTCCCTGATGTCCTCAGGGTTTCCGGGCAGCTTCAGCTCCTGGTGCATGAACTGAGCGAAAGCCTTCATTCGATTTGCACTACCACCGACACACACGAACTTTAAGAAACAGACACAGCGGCGTGGGTGAGTTTCGTTGCATAGCTCTTAGAAAAACCTTCAATCGAGCCGTTCACAAACCTTGATGTCTCCAAACATCTCTGGGAGGTTGTGAGTCTTGGTGCTCAGGCTGAAGTGGTAGAGAATGTCTTCCTCCATAGAGTCCAGGTGGGGGTTTTTCACCTGCACCTGTTGCCTAAAGAGTATTTGACTTTATATAATTATTCAAACAATGATGATTGCATACGACAGATTGAAAAAGGGTTCACAGATACTTACTTGATGTAGTCATTGTGCTCATTTTCCAGAAGGTTCAGGAGAATCAGTGCCATGACTGCAAGAGGCGCTTTGAAAAAAAAGTTTTAAACGTTGCAATAGTTGAAGCTCTTGGTCCTAATAAAAGTGAGATCCAGCTGCACAGCTGATATAGCGGTCACCCCTGACCACTGATTGGTTCTGGAAAGAGGAGTAGCAGCAGTTGATTTGGATAAAGGCGACTTCCAGTCACAAACAGGACAAGATCTGCCACACGGAGATACAAAAAGACGTCTGTACAAAGAGCAGCGGGGACAACTTAAGTGATGAAAAGGTGTGTGATGTCCCACCAGCAGCCAATCTGAATCCAGTTATAATCTGACGTGTGGTGACATAACTCTCACTGAGGACATTTAGATAACCTCTGACCCTCGCAGGCAACACTTTAACAAATCAAAACAGAGCTAACGAAATGTACAACCAACGCTTCCTTTTGATGATAAATATTGACCTGCGTGATGTTTGAAACACAGCTGAGGGGAGGGGAAAAGAAATAATGATGAAACATTTGGAATCTTTTAAACTTTATTTTCACGAACGCAGAAAATGCACAGAACGTTACACAAGTTTCTCCTGTCGTTAACAGATGCAGTTACGGAGGCACTGCCAACAGGCGCCATAAATAAAAAGCAATAGCTTGAAATCAGTGAAGCGTTTTTACACTCGGGAAAACATTTGAAACTAAGTAAAACGCTTCATGTGGCTCAGCAGGAAGTAAAAAACAAAAAAAAAGGCGGAAAGTTAATGTCAGAAAAAATGATGGCCACTATTCTTCTTGGAGTTGACCTTGTGCTTCTGGCAGTTTTCCCGTCTGTAGACAAAAAAAAAATGGAAAAGAGCAAGAGTCGATCAAATAATCATTCCCACATAATTCACTAATATCTACACATAATACTGTCAAGACGCTTCATAAAGTCCTAACAGCTTAAGCCTTAAAGTAGTACTCCACAAATTGTGTCTGTGTCAGTTCAGACCGGATTAACAGCTTGCCTTCATTTCCTTTTATTGCCGTACAAATGTATTCTGAAAGCAGGATAAAAAGGAAAGTTAAAGAGACTGTAACTCCGCTGCCGTGCTACTTACGCAACATGTCACTGCCCGGGTTTGTTGCCCTCTGCGTAACCAAAGCTCAACAGCTTTGCCATGTCAACAGGCTCTGGTCTCTTGTCAAATACACTATAAAAGTGAAAAATATATGTACATTTAAATGTGCTAAAAGCATAAAAGTTTCACTTTATAACAGATTTGAAATCAGGTCACTTTGTTTTTACTTTGTACAAATAAAGTGATTATTTACAACAACAACAAAAAAAGGAGGGGCTACAGATGATTTAAACATTAAATGTGTTCTACTGTTGGTTGACCCAACACTGAAACCCAAGTTAAACTCTGGCTACTTATTACAGATTTATTCTTTCAACAAAGCACACACAAAATCATCAACTGGTCCAACAAAAGGCTTTCCCTTTACTTCCACCTAAACAAGAGTTCTTGCTCCGATGAACCATTTTCCTGAAGTCGAAACTTATGTCACTAATGTAGATTTATGTTTTCTGTATGTTTGTTACCACTGGCAGATTAAACTGCAGATTACGTTTTATAGTTAGTCAATTGTGGAATTACTGTGATGAGTTGCTTGTCCATTTTTGTCCCAATAGAAGTGAAAGTTGTGTTCTTTTGGGTTTTTCCTAACGGTACAGAGGACAGAGCTCCGATCAGCTGAGAGCCAAAGCAAACAGCAACACATCCAGAAATGTCTAGATGAACTTTGTTCTGTTTTATTTGAACCTTTTCTGCTTTGTCACCACAACAGTGGAACATACGGACTAGAGTTGACATGACCTGCTCTTTTTTCAATGAGAGAAAAAAGTTTTTTTTTTTCTTGAGGATTTTTAGGCTAAATGCTACAGAATTACAGCAGAGTTTGTGTGCAATAATCCAGGTAAAAAAAAAAAAATAATCCAACAAAGTTCAGTCAGGTCAGTCAGCTTTGTGGCTCTTCAGACTGATGAAGTCCTTTGGATGAAGGACGAAACGTCTCATCATAATAAGAAACCATCCAGATGACCTGACTGAACTTTGTTGGACTACAGAATTACACTGATGCAAAAAATAATGAGCAAAAATGTCAAAATATTTTTAGGACAGGCAAAGTCTGTCTCAGTACAATAAAAAATAGATCCTATTAACATTTATATAATGTTCTAGGTAAAAGTGACTGGAGCAAAAATATGGAATTTTAATTATCTTTATTTGCCTTTGCATATGTTATTTGCAGCTTTGTCAGTTGACAGGAAATATCTGCACTAACCACTAATGAAGCCATTTCAGATGAGTCATTTTATTAACAAGGCTTTCAGTAAAAAAAAAAAAAAGTCTTATTTGCTGAGCTACAGTCAATAAAAAGTGAATAAAAATGAAACTCTGAGCTTGTATGACTTGTTTGTAAATCATTTCAGTTTTCTAACTGGTGTGCTCGAAGTCATCTTAATACAATTGTGGTGTTTGTTCCATAAATTCCTCAGTCAAAAAATAAACTGGGCTCTTATAGAACAAATAGGACTAGAGAGCTAACAAATCCAGTACTTTGAACACGTTAAATTAATAAGAATGAACTTGAAAGTGTTTAATTGTGTTGTCAAAAATCTAGTTAATGGTTCACATGCAGCATTGTGCTGTAAAATTCTTTAAACTGTTTACTGCAAAAGGAGAACTACTTTTTATTTAGGACTCCAACTACTGCTCAAATTAGCTGTTATGGTTTACTGTTTTTGAGAAGAGTTGGCTGCTGCTTGGAATAAATTTATCAGAGAACAACAGTGCCATCTTGTGATCACAACCACTTACAGCCTCTTGTATTTGCTTGTCTCATACAGACTGGATGTCTTCAACTCCTCCATCTGGTTGGACAGAACATTCATGGTCTGAACAAAAAAAAAGTAAACACAGTGATTATGATTTTCACTGAATATCAATTAATTAATTAAGCATTACGCTGTAACAATAACTTCATCTTAAGACAAAAAAAAATGAACATAAGTAGCAGAACTAACCTCACGTGTGTAGATTTACGGCTTACCTTTTCTTTTTCATTGCTGCTGTCACCACCTCTTTCCCAAGTCGACATACTGTCAGTCCAAAAGGGAGACACCAGTGGCTGTAATGCTCCAGGGTTTTTCTCCTCTTTGCTGTAAATTTGTCACATAGGAAGAATTAAACAACACTAGCATACACAATGTTTAAATCCAGGTTTAATTGAAACAATTATTTGTGTATGTGGATGCAATATTAATCCCAAACTTTGACTACAACTAAGCAGATAATACATCACTTTTGCTTGATGGTGTCTTCTGATGAGGCACTGAACCAGTTTGGAGGTTTGTATGAATTTGTATTGGAAGTACTGGTAGCTGTTTCTTCATCTTCATGCCACAGCAGCCCTGCTGACAGTGACCATAAAGAGCAGAAGTTAGTGATTTCTGATGGTGCAGCAGAGCCAGTTAACACATACTGCAAGTCAACAGCATAGCTCCACCTTTATGTCCTCCTTGTTTTGCAAGCTTCACGTAGTCCGAATCGCTCTCCTGGACTGTGACCCTTTTTCCTCGGGCCCTCTCCTCAGGGCAACTGACGACTGATGGAGACAGTCCTGGAATCTGAGAGATGTAGCCATCTGGTGTTTGACACCCTTCTTTCACACCTGGAGGGTTTAAAACACATGCAAATAAACAATGAATAAGCTACCCCTTACACAACATAATCAATGTGATTTATATAGTTGCACTTGCCAGATATTCCTGGTTGAAGATCGTTACTCATGACAACTAAGGGGTTTCTAATGAATACAGAAACAAGATGGTGTTAGCAACAGGTAAAAGTAGCTTTGTTTGGCTAACGCTAGTGCTAGCTAGCAGACAACAATTCAACAATTTGATAAATAGTTTTATGACAGATAAC